GGTAAGATCCAAATCAGTAGCGGTTCCTTTTAGCCACACACAGTCATTTTTCTGTGTTAGTAGTCAGAAATGGTTAAACATTCCTACACCTTGAACTAGGTTCACATGTGAGAACCCGAATATAAAAATTAAATAAATAATTAAATAATAATAATATTACAATCTCAAATATTTTGATAGTGAATCCTAAAGTGCAAATTAAATATTTGGAGGGCCTTTTAATTAATTTTAAAACCTAAAATAAATTTATAGTGAAAGTCTTTAATTTAGAGGCAAGATTTATTATAAAAAATATAGAGAGAGAGAGAAAGAGGAGGGTGTGACTTGAACTCTAGACCATAAGGTTAATAAATAAGACTCTTACCATTTGAGTTGCATATAACTTGTATATATATATATATATATGTTTTGTATATTTATCTATTTATTTGACCTATGTGTGCCCGCAACTAATATAAAATAAAATAAACACAAACCCTACTCTATTATTTGTTCACCACATAGGGCAACAACACAGCAGCCACGGGAGAGTTTGAGAGAAAGAAAAAGAAGAAGTTTCAATCAAAGAACTTTTGGGTGTGTGATAGGGTTCTAACTTTCTTCTTTATTTTATATTTGTTCTTTATTCTTATTCTATTTTATGATTTAAGTCATTGATGGAGAGGTTGTAGGTGTATGTAATTTGTGTGTATATATATATACTGTTAAGAAATCTAAGGAGTTAAATTCATGTATAAAGAATGGTGTAATTCTTAGTTTAAAAATTCTGTACAGAATCACAAACTTTAAAAATCAAGAAACCATATTAAACGCATGAATTTTGAACTGAAATTTTTATAGTAGATTAATTACATATTGAATTGCATATATGAATTTTTTCATAATTTTTGGGAGTCAAAATCCATATAAACTGATGTGTTCAAATCTGTCTAGAAAACTGGATTAAAACAGTAAGTTGGGGAGTGTCGTTCTCTTTGGGTATAAATCCGAAAATTATCAAATTAGTGTCATTAGAACCGGTTACAAGTCTAGTTTCGTACATGTTTGGCCTTGCGTTGATTGCTCGTATATACTAAGAGAACTATTAATTTCTTTAAAGTGCTGCAGAAAACAACCTATTTGGGTGTAATTAATTGTAAATAATTATTTTGATAAGCAAATCAAGTAAAACCAATTGAGTTCGAAACTTAGGATATATTAGTTAATATCTGGATGGTTTTGAAATTTTTCGAACAGCGTGGAGTGGGCTTTATAATTTTCAAAGTTAACGAATAGATTGAGAAAACTTGTTTAAAACTTTGTTTTATCTTAAAGTTACTTTTAGTTAAGTTTCGATCGGAGCCCATGTCTTGGGTGATTTTAGACCTTAAAAAACATGAACTTAGGTAATATTTAAGTGTAACGGTGAGTTGGGTTGAGCCATGTTAGTGCGCTTTAGTTTGGGGTCATATAGTTCTTATTCTTTAGTATTTTTAAATTAGTAGTGACGTGTAGTTTTCATCCTTGGTTCAGGGCACTAGTTGGACTCTTATACTTTATTTGAGGATTACATTGTTCCGTTTTCAGGTGAGTAGTTTCATGCTACATATTTTTATAAATGTTCCCCTACCCTGAATTGTTGGAAAATTAAATTGTTGTTTCATGACTAAACTGTTTTGATAAATTATTATATTATCAATGGAATCAAATTATTTTTGAAACATGTGTGAATTTGGCATACTGTAAACTATTTGTTTTTGTCTCATGTTTATAATGATGAACTATCATGTTTTGCGAAACTGATGTGTATTGATTATTGGGACCATCTGTATATTTTAGTCTAGGAAAATTATTCTACTGTGTGCGGTGACTCTGGCCACTAGGGAACAGATCCGGGTTGGGCCGTGATGACTCTAGTGCTCAACGATTGTAAGGAAAAGACCTAGGTTAAGTTATGTGACCTTCAATCGGATCGTCTTAGAGAAAAGGCCCAGGCTGCCACCTTGAGGATGACTCTTAGTTCGGTATTGGATCCAACGGGACTTATAGCCTTGAGAACTGTGTGGCATGTTACTTGTTACTTCTTGGTACCCAGAAAATTATTAGTATTCATGTTGTAATATGTTTTAAGTAGAAAATGTCATTTATTATGTTCTTAAGAGGCATGAGTATTTTAACTGTTGAATTGTGAAACCTTCTTTTTGAAACAGATTCTCTTTACCAAATTGTATGCCAATCTAGTTTCTGTGATATATATCTTATTTTGGAATTGAACCCTGTTTTCAAAACTGTATTTACTATCCATGTTGCTACTCACTGAGTTATCAGCTGACTTAGTTGTTTATCATTTCCAGGTGTTAGAAGTACTTAGAGTGAACTCATGGCGTAGCGGGGATTCAATTGTATGGACCTCTAGACCATTCATTTATTTTGTTTTAGATTGTTATGTCAAGTTTGTGCATATTTCTTTTTATTTTTATTGAGGTTCATTTAGGATTATTTTGATATGTAGGTTTTTTATATCCCATAAGTTTGGATGGTATTGATTACGGTTGGTTTTGTCGTTTATACTTGTGGCATGTCAGTGGTTTGGGTTTTGATTTATTTATTTTTGGGCTATCGTCACATTTATTCTTTGTGACTTTTGGGTTCATGTTTAAGGCTTACGTGTATCTTGGGCTTAGTCCCTGTGGGCCACGGCCGGTCATACTCGGGTTTGGGGTATGACAATTGTGGTATCAGAGCTGTAGGTTTATCGAGTTACATATCTTGCATTTCATCATTTAGACGAGGTCCGAGTCCCTATAGTCCTTAGTAGTGTATGGTTGAGTCAGTTTTGTTTAAACTTGTGTTGAATCTTTCTTGATTTCAGTTTGAAGGTTAAGAGTTGGCACCTAGATATTTATATAGACTGTCTATTCCTTGTTGGCCTTTGGATGTTTGTATTACCGTGTCTACTCCATTAGGAGAAATAGTAGTATTAGGAGATGTTTGTAGATCCTATTAGGTAAACTTAGATGGTAAGATTTTTCTAGTAGGTTTGATTTCCTTAGAGATGAAGGATTTTGATGTGATTTTTGGGATGGATTTGTTGATGAAGCATCATGCCTTTGTTGATTGTTTTAGAAAAATGGTAGTTTTTGCTATGCCAAGACAACTTGAGTTTTTCTTTTAGGAAGATAGGAAAGGGTCTTCTATCTGTTTTATTTCTTCTCTTTAGGCTAACTGAATGTTGAGAAAAGGGTATCATGGTTACTTAACTTGTGTGGTGAGTATCGAACTGCCAGAATACAAGTTAAAGGAGTTGCCTGTAGTGAGTAATTGTGTTGATGTTTTTCCAAAGCATCTACCTGGACTTCCTCTAGATTGTGAGGTAGAATTTTCCATTAACTTGGTCCCTGACATAGTACTTATTTCTAAAGCACCCTATAGAATGGCACCGTTGGAGTTGAGGGAGTAACAAACTCAGTTACAGGAGTTGTTAGACAAAGGTTTTATTAGGCCTAGTGTTTCACCTTGGGGAGCACCTGTGTTGTTTGTGAAGAAGAAGGATGGGTCTATGAGATTGTGTATTGATTATAGAGAACTGAACAAAGTCATAGTGAAGAATAGGTATTCTTTGCCGCGCATTGATGACCTATTTGACCAATTATAGGGAGCTCAAGTATTCTCTAAGATTGACTTGAGGTTAGGCTGTCACTAGTTTAAGGTAAGGAATAAGGATGTTCCTAAGATAGCTTTTAGAATCCGTTATGGGCATTATGAGTTCTTGGTGATGCCTTTTGGTCTCACAAATGCACCAGCCACATTCATGGATTTGATGAACATAGTATTTAAACCTCAACTGGATACATTTGTGGCACTGTTTATTGATGACATTCTAATTTATTCGAGGAGTAAGGAGGAGCATGAGCAGCATTTGAGGGTAGTACTAAAAATTCTGAGGGAGAAGAGTCTGTATGCAAAATTTAAGAAGTGTAAATTCTGGTTGAGTAGTGTATCCTTTTTGGGTCATGTGGTGAGTAAAGACGGGGTATCTGTGGATAGCTCGAAGGTGGTAGCAATTGTTGATTGGCCACGACCTACTTCTGTGACAGAGGTACGTAGCTTTCTAGGGCTTGCTGGATATTACAAACGGTTTGTGAAAGGATTCTCCAATCTTGCTTTGCCACTTACCAACTCACCAGGAAAGGGGTAAAGTTTGAGTGGAATGATGATTATGAGCATAGCTTTCAAGAGTTTAAACAGAGGTTGACATCAACTCCAATCCTTACCTTACCTACAAATGGTGGTGGTTTTGTGATTTATAGTGATGCTTCACGACAGGGGGGTTTAGGATGTGTGCTCATGCAGCATGGGAAGGTGATTGTTTATGCGTCACGACAGTTGAAAATAAGTCCGATCCTCTCTAACTTTAATGTATAATTACTAGTTGCTTTGTAAATAAGTCCAATCTTTAGAACTGGCTAGTAATTATACATTAAAGTTAGAGAGAATCAGTGCTTTTCTTAATTTAGTCATTCTCTCATTCTAATTTGCTCATATAATTATTTGTCTATATAATCATTTGAATATTACCTAATGTGTTTTAAATTTATAAAGTTCTACAATTGATCCATTTTGAAAATGACAAAATCTCACAGATGACACCAATCTTTTTTTTTTCTTTGTACCAAATTTTTAATTGCCTGATAGATGCCAATAGCATAGGTGGTGAAAAAACAGTGAAATTCATCAAGTAACGAATACAATTTTCCTATGAAAAATCGAAGATAACTCTTCCTATGAAACAAGTGATATTTGTCCAGCTCAAAGAAAGCTTCATAGAATGTTATACATTCTAAACTAAAAACCACATTAATGTGGCATATAGAAGAGAATTCAGGATTATAATGCTTATATATTATAACTTTATATATGCTGAAAATGTTTCTAAATTAACAATTATCAGTAAGAGAAACAAACATTGATTTCAAACACCCTTTTCCTTCATCAAAAATCAAAAATCAAAGTTTTCATACATGACTTGATGATTGGGCCTTGACGGTTGAAAGGAGCGAAGCCACAGCCTCTCCAACTGTCAGGAAAAGGCAGTCTGGTCTGCTGAAAACATCATGGGCTTCGTCTCCACGCTGCAATTTTTCCATAACCTCACCGAGTGGATTCACCAACACGAGCTGATCATCAGAGGCAACGAACAATCAGTTTGGAAGTATTAAATTAAGCTACTGGTGAGTTTACAGAACAGCAGCAAAGCGAGAGAGAGAGAGAGAAAGAGAGATGAAATTGCAGCTGTAGTGTACTTGCCTCAAGACCCTTGTTTTCCACTGCCTTCCTCAAATCTTTAAGCAATGACACTCCACTTGTATCCATGGCACTCACAGCTGGAAAAAAAAAATATATGTATATATATCTTATGTAAAGTAAAGATAAGACATTCCATGAGAGCCCTTTGTTTCATGGGACTGAGACATGAGATGAGATTGGACATGTATAGTGCACTTTCTAGCACTTGTTTTAAGTATCTCTAGAGTTTATCCTTCAATATTGCTTATGATTTTTTTAAAAAAAAAAATTACCAAAAACACTAAAATTCAGCTTAATTAATAATTTTTAAATTAAATATTGAGGCACTTACCAATCAGTTCTATTAAATAGATTTATTTACTTATAGGTCTTATTGATAAATTTATCACTGTAAATTTATTCATAAAAACAAAAGATTGATAAATTTATCATTTGATAAATTTATTAATAAGACTTATGGATAATAAGTTCTAAAAATAGGACCTATTGGTAACATAGACTTTGGTTCCCTTTGTTGCTTTGGACAAGAACTTGGGATTCATGCCAAAATTAAAAATTATGCTTAATTAATTAACTAACCTGACAAGTCAAGGATAACAAATCTGAGGCCTGACTGCTTTTTGGTCTGTTCTTCTTCTTCTGCTTCATAATCTTCTATCCATCTCAAAATCCTTCGATAACAAGCGAGGAAAAAAAAATGTTAGGAATTGAAATTGAAACACTTAAATAGGATCAGTAAAACATGAAACACAAACAGTAACTGTTCAAGAATCAAAATTAAGCACACGAGTATAAAGATTTAAGTGGTTTAGTTCACCCCCACAATAAGGGTATTCTACATCCAGAGTCTTTGCAGTTTCATTACGATTTGAAAAGAGTTACAATACAATAGGGAGAGAAAGAGATATGGCACTTCAACTATAAATACACAGTATTAAGACTGAGAACGGGGTTGTAACCCACATAAAAATAATAAACAAAAGTTGTTAAGAAGCTATGTTTAAAGTAACCATATATACTAGCAAGTTAGTTTGTACCTTTCATTGAGGTAGCTGCTGTTGGCAAAGTTGATTGAAGCTTCAATGCTTAAAATGAGGAAGCCTGGGATTCTGGCAGCCTCTTTGTATTGTCGAATATTGCGATAAATGTCAGTCCCGGGTATGTTCCCCAACATCACTGTTTTAGGCCTTGTTATTTGCATCAGGATCTTGAAAATTGATATGCTTACCTAATCATCATCATCATTTATCACCATAGACAAAATTAATTGTGAACCAAGCCAAGCATAGTTCTGAAATCAGTGTGTGTGTGTGTGTGTTTTTTTTTTCCCGGATTGAAGAGTTGAGAACTTACTGCAATGGCTAGACCTCCCTGCACAGAGATGAAAATAACACCCAAAAAAGCACATAACAACACGAGGAAATCGAATTTGTCAATTTTCCAAACATGATATGCGGCAGGGATGTCAATGAGGCCGACAACTGCAGTGACTATGATCGCGCCCAGTATAACATTCGGGGTATACTGGAACAAGGGCATGAGAAAGAGCAGAGTAACCATCACCGTCACTGCCATTACTATGTTAGACACTGCAGTTTTTGCACCGGCATTGTGATTCACTGCTGACCTAGAAAATGCACCTGATGAAAATTCAACAACTCATTAGAGACATTTTTTGAAATCAATACAAGTCTCTTATGACTTGGGTATAGGTATCGGGTACGTGTCTTTTGAGTGTTGAATTCTTCAAATTCCTATGTCCAAGGACACCAAGTTACGTTTCTAAAATTCATTATATTATTAAGGGGAAAATAATGTTTACAAAATAAAAGAGAATATTGTATGCATAATTTTATGCAATGTCATAGAGTAGACTGAATTATGTGCTTACTAGGTTCCTGATCAACTAGACATCAGACTCCTCCTTGGGGAGATTTTAATCATTTTGAATTCTTATTAAGAGTAACCCCTTCTCTGTTTTTATTTCTATTGCATCTTATCTCATCGTATAACATTTTATTCAGCGATATTTGAGAATTCACTGTCTATCAATACCTCGGTGTAAGTCTGGGATAATCTTTTCATCTATAGCCTAGGGCTATTTACAACTGACCAATTAAGATTTCTCTGATGTACTAGAACTAGCAGTGCATCAAAGATGCAGTCATTGGTTAGAGGTTACAATTACATGGAGCGAACATATCAAGGGACAGAAAGGCATTTTTTTTGTGAAATAGTTGGAAAGAGATTGAAAGAGAGAAGGAAATGAACCTGTAGTGACATAGCAGGAAGTAGAAGAGCCAACCATGTTCATCAGCCCAATTGCAATCATCTCCTTGTTTCCATCCACTTGGTAGTTCTTTAAAGCAGCAAATGTCCTTCCCACAGCAATCCCTTCCTGTTTAAAATTTTAAATAAAATAAAAAATTTAACAACAATGGCAGTTTTTCCTTTGATAAACACTTAGAGGCACACTGGAAAATTTTATATGCTATACAAATCAACATTTAAAAATTTTAGGTAATTTAGGCCTAATTGGAATTAAAGGGTTCTAATGCCACCATACTTGTGGTCTCTCGAATTTGCTTATTGTGTCAATTTGGTCTTTGCAATTCTAATTGTATTTATTTTGCCCTCTAATTTTTATATTTTTTAGTCGATTTGGTCCCATTGATAACTTTGGTTAAGAAATTGAATGGAAATCAATTGCAAAATTGTCCATTTAAAAGGGGTGGACAATTTAAATTAGACGTGAATTCCTCAATCATTTTGAAGAGAGTGATGGACTATCTTGCCCTTCAATTTCAGTCCAATTCTGAAAAGGATATTATCAATTGAACTAAACTGACATCATGCAAAAATTCAAGAATAAAATTAATATTAGAACTATGAAAATCAAATTGATACCAAAGATAAACTACAGGGATGCCTAGCCACTAAAGTAGAGTATAAAGAGAATAGAAATTTACTTACAGTGAGGGAAAGGATGCCAGTAATAAGTCCAGTTTTCATTACTAGTCCAAGGTGGCTTCCATGAAAATGCAACATGTTCCATGATGGAGGGTTTAATCCTTCTTGTAGTTTTCCAATCTATCCCAAAAGAAAAATAAAATAAAATAACAATTAAGATATGAAAATAGGCAACCACCTATAATGACATACAAAAATGAAGATAGATATCTTGAAATAAAAAATAAAAAATAAAAATAAAAATGAAAATGAAAGAGATAGATATAGATATAGAGACTTACCACACTGATTCCATGATGTTGAGCTTTGAATGCAAAAACCAACAAAGTAGAGAGGATCACAGACACAAGTGGTGCTCCAGCTGACACCCAGAATAGCTTTGGTTTTTTTATGCCCTGCATTTATTCACACATTCCCATAATATTTTTAAGATGGTTTATAATTTTTGAAACTTAGTGCCAGGTAAAAAAAAAAAAAAAAAAAAAAAAAAAAAAAAAAAAAATTGCATAATAAGGTTCATGTTGCCCAAGTCTGTATACTCTTATTGGAGGTCAATTCTTATCAAATGCAAATATTGATTATTTTTTTCTCATTATTTGGTTGTATTGTGTTGTTTATTTCTTCCGACTATGAATTATTTATCGTGGTAGTTGTTCAGCTTGAGTTGTTTATTTCTTATTGTTATGGGTTGTTTTTTGTAATGATAGTTGGGTTTCTGAACTATAATTGTTTAAATTAATATAATTATTTTTATAGTTATATTTAATTTCTCATCTATTCAAAAAAAAATATTCATGATTTCCAAGAACTAATAACAATAATTTTAGAGTTAAATGTATAATAGTTGATGTTAGAATTTTAAGAGAGGAATTATTATTACAGCTTTGCTTAAAAAAAAAAAAAACAGTTTTTCCGGACCAACCCCCAGCTGACACCTCACTGGGTGTCACCCCCAGCTGGGGGTAGCAAGCATTTTTCTTATTATTATTATTATTATTTTGTCAACATTCTAGGTGTTTAAGTTTGTTAGTAAAGTTGGTGTAGCACTTAAAAGACTCTGGTTACTCCATAAATTTGAACTCCTAATCTTTACCAACTGTACCTCAAAAGAGGAATTATTGGGTGTCTTGATTAAGGTCATTATTTTAATCAAAAGTAGTCAATCGCTATGTGCTATTTTGAGAACATGGTAAAAAGTCACGTTTTTGGCTGCCAAAAATGATAGAAAAGCCATTTGGCAAGTGCCAAAACGCAGCCGTAAAATTACAAATTAGGACCTATGAAAAAAAAATAAAAAAATAAATCTCTTATGTTAGGTAAGGATATTTTGGTCATTTTAATTTGATTTGACACCATAAATAAATATTAAACTAAAAAGTAAAAAGTCAACTTTTTACCAACTTCCCAAATCACTTCAAAAAAAGTCAAAAAACTTGATAAAAAGTCAAAAGTTAACTTTTTACCAATTTTCCAAAACAAGCCTATCTTTTAGTGTAGAACTAACCAATAGGAATACCATTTGTGATTGGATTTGAGAACTCTTAGACTAAGATAAATTACGCCAATCTTTGTGGAGATTTGTAAAAATATTTAAAAACAAATTATTTGCTCTTTTAAATTTAAGATAATTATAGTAGCAGACAAATTTAACATAATTATACTATATTTTCTTAAATTTTATGTTACATAATATTTTATGGAGGTATTACAATACAATAAATGTTTTTAAAAAGAATTTTAAATAAGTGGTAAACTTTAATAATTAAAATTATAAACTTTCTCATAAATTTATAAATATTTTGTGATATTACCACTGAATTGTAATTTTTCCTATTTTGTTCATTTGCATCATCATTTGCTACTTGTATAGATGAAAAATAATCATATTTTCATATTTTTTATACTCAAATATATTTTAGGACAAATTATAACGGTAATCCTTACATTTTTTGCCTTGTGTCATTGTAATCCTTGTAATTTCAATTAGTTCGTTATTGGCCATGAATTTATAATTTTATCTTAACCCAGTCCAATTGATTACGATTGTTAGTGCTTTTTGATGAAAAATGTACACATAAACGATATGTGATATGCTTTTATAAGCAAAATTATAAATGTATTCAACTCAGTGACTAGTTTCTTTCAAAAATCTTGATCAGTATTATTAATTGGATTAAATTGACATAAAATCTAAAATTAAAAGTTAAAGTTGAGCTAATTAAAATTAAAGAAACAAAAATGATAAAAGAGGTAAAATGCAGAGTACTCATGTAATTTACCTTATATTTTGACTTCATTTGGCTATCTCAGTTCGAATTAAAACAAACATGAAAGACAAAATAAACTAAATAAGCTAATAAGATAAAATGTTACATTTAAATCATAATAATTTCATTTTTTCTCTCATAAAAATAAAAAAAGTCAAAAAAATTTTGCTAAACAAACTTTTAGTCTCAAATTAAAAAAGTTCAAACTTCAAAAAGCCAACTAAATTTTTTTTTTTGCCAAAGGGCGACTTTATTTCAAGTATTTTGAGTATCTATACATCTGCATATTATTAAAAGAGATGCTAATTTAGTTACATTATTTATGAGAAATTTATGTTTTAAATCTTGTGGGTGGCCATTGTAATTTAACCTTAATAATTTTATCAGTCAAAAGAGAATGGTCCTTGGACCGACCTAAATAAATCTATAGTGACCCGCATTTCTAATTAGCAAAAAATAAAAATAAAAATAATAAACGCCTACTGTTGTTTTTGTCTTTTTCCGTCTTTAATAAACATTTTTTTTACAAATTTTTATGAATAAAAAATCACCTTTTGATTCTACTAAAGTAGTAGACTTTAAAGAAGTAAAAAAGCTAAAAAATTTTAGATTTTCAAATTTTTTTTTTCTTTTTAGATCCTTTGAAAAGTTCAAAAAAAAAATCACTGGAAAAAAAAAATTTAAAAAGTGTGATTTTTTTAGTTGTAGCCAAACAAAACAGCATAGGCTTAAAAATTGGCATTTTAAGTATTTTTTGTTTTATTATTATTTTTAATCAATATTAATTAAGAGTTTTTAGCTTGAGTTTTGACCTCCCCTTTTTTTTTCTTCATACTAAACTCTAAACCCTAAATTACAAAAAAAAAAAAAAATCAGATTTGATCATTAGAACAAAATAAATCATGATTTTTTAATTTTATCAATTTAAATTTTAATCTTTGATTTGTTTTCAGCATAAACTATTTGACTATTTTTGTTAATTAAAATCGGCGAAAAATAGTACTTTAGTCAATAAATTCAATGTACATATACATAAAATGTCTAAAATATTTATTTTCATTGAATTTAATAATTTTTTTGTCAATTTTACTTTACAAATATAAGAAAATGGTTCAGAATGAAAACAAATAAAAATATTAGAATTTAAATTGATAAAATTAAAATTCATAATTTATTTTGTTAGAAGTGTCAAATCCTAAAGTTTTTTTTTTTTTTTTGTATTTAAATTTTAATCTTTGATTTGTTTTCAGCATAAACTATTTGACTATTTTTGTTAATTAAAATCGGCAAAAACTAGTACTTTAGCCAATAAATTCAATGTACATATACATAAAATGTCTAAAATATTTATTTTCATTGAATTTAATAATTTTTTTGTCAATTTTACTTTACAAATATAAGAAAATGGTTCAGAATGAAAACAAATAAAAATATTAGAATTTAAATTGATAAAATTAAAATTCATAATTTATTTTGTTAGAAGTGTCAAATCCTAAAGTTTTTTTTTTTTTTTTGTAATTTTCGCAAACTAAAACAAACAAAAAAAAAAAAAAAAAAAAAGATTGTTTTTTAAAAAAAAAAATTTATTTTTAAAAAAAAGAAACAAAAACAAAAAAATACAGGGCGGGGCTTGCGGGGTTAGCAATTAGGTGGCATCTGAAAGAAAAATGTTTGGGGGCCCTAATTCTGTGGTTCAAATGTGGCTCAAATGGCCAAAACGACGTCGTTTTGGCCATTTTGATGTTGTTTTGTACTCAAAACGACGTCGTTTTGGCTATTTGAGCCACATTTGAGCCACAGAATTTGGGCCCTCTACCATTGCTCAATTAAAATATTATATTTTTTAAGAATTCTATATGTTTTTTTATTTTATTTTATTTTATTTTATTGTCCCACTGCACAGTTATTTTCTCTAAAAACAAACAATCCTTTGGTGATGAATCATTGCTACTTTACGTCATTTGTATGCAAAAATTAGACAGAGGTGATCACAGCCGTCTACAATCAATACCAAATTAAGAGATTTGTTTGGTAGTGAAGCAAAAGGGTTAAGCCAGTGTTTTGAGAAGTGATTATTTTAATTAATTTTTAAATTTTTTTATAAAAAATATTAGTAAAAAAAATAAAATAAACGGTGATGTAGTTGAATATTTTATTTTTTTTTACTATTTTAATTAAAAAAATCAACCCTCCAAACGGGACGTCCAAAACCGAACAATCTACATGCAGTAGTAGTTGCAAAGAAAGAAAGAGTACTAAAGTTGGATTAACTCACAATGTGTCTTGTAAAAAGAAGCAACACAAGGAAACAAACTCCCATCAGTATAGCTTGCCACGACCACTGCACAAAATTAATTTTTATCTATCAATCTCATATTATTACAAAAAGTGTATTATCTACTCACCCAAAAAAAAATGTATATTTAATTTTACATATGTCGTAAGTTGAGGGCATATTTTAAAATTTAACAAGATTACGGATACAAAGCCAATATACAAAACAATTATGATATACACATTCACTAGATTACTTTACTTTACTTATATATCCGTCATTATTAAGGCCTCGTTTAGGAACAGTCTAATTTAGTAACTTTTTAGTTATTTGATTAAAATATGAGCTAAAAAAAATTAATATGTTTGGGAACAGTCTAATTAAAAGTGTATTATCTACTCACCAAAAAAAAAACATATGTCGTAAGTTGAGGGCATATTTTAAAATTTAACAAGATTACGGATACAAAGCCAATATACGAAACAATTATGATATACACATTCACTAGATTACTTTACTTTACTTATATATCCGTTATTATTAAGGGTCTTATTAGTTCTGATAACAAAATTAAAAATTTTAACCCTAATTAAATTGAATTTGTTGACCTGGAAAAAGAAACAAACTTAAAACTAGGATTTGATTTTTGTTGATTTTTGATTTACCATGAAAGAGAGATTGACATGAGACTTCTATTTTTTTTTTTTTCCTTTTATAAAATTCTACCTCGAGAAGAGAATTAATAAAAAGAGATGGTTGGATTTTCGCACTATAAATTTTGAAAAATGACTTAGACTCCCAGTGGAGGTGCTGGGGGTCATTAGTGATTGGTCAAAAAATAGTTTATTTATTTATTTATTTATTTTGCCACTAACAGTGTGCCACCTGTCACTATGGGTCACTGGGGGTGCCCCAGTTGGGAGTCGGTAGCACGGCTGATAAATTTTACCCTCTCTTTCTCCTTAATGCAAAATGTGTAGTCAGTTATCAATTAATGCTCAAATAAAACTTTAACATAAAAATTAATTGAGGTTTAAAAAAATACAATAAACCCCACAAGTTTGACATAATTATACAAGTCTCCATTTTAGTAAGGCTAAAACAATTAAAATTAGTAGAGATGGTGCAAGAACAAATGAGATAAATTATACATTTTAATATTAAAAAATAGTAATAGTATTTTTTTATATGTATAATTAATAAATTATCGATGAAAAGAGAAAGTGATCATTAAGTATAATTATGTTAAACTTGTAAAATCTCAATATATTTATTTATTTTCTAATCTTGGCATGCATTATTATGTATTGGAACTGGTAACTCACCTCATTTGTATGGTGGAAGACAGAAGACAAGACAGGGACCAAACCCATTTGTGAGGTGAAATGAGTGATGCCAAGCAGTGCTTTTAGCTGTTGAAGAGATACTATGATTGCTGCTCCAGCCATGAACCCAATCAGTGTTGCCTTTGATAGAAAATCAATTATAATTCCAAGTCTGCAAACACCCCCAACCCACATAACATAACATCAAATTATATTCAACAAAAGGGTTGTTTCTTCAAATGAAACATCAAAAAAAGATGAATTTTAATAACAATATCGACAGTCGTGGACGCAAAAATTGGGTACACAGAGGGTCAAGATAAAATTATTAGAGTTGTGAGGGGTCAAAATGCATTTCCGTTATTAATACTCAAAATGGTATACTCTAACGAAAAAGTTTTTGCAAAGTTTGAGAGGATCGAAATACAGTTATATAGATAATGGAGGGTCTGAAAGTTAATTTCCTTATAAATACTTAAAATTACGTAAGACTAATCAGAATTTTGTTGAATTTGAGGGTTTGTGAGCCCCACTGCCCTCTCTGTGATAATTTCTAACAGTATCCAAAGTTGAAAAATATCGACCAATATTTAAAATCATATGAATCAAAATTATAAGAGAGAGAGAGAAAGAGAGAGAGAGAGAGAGAGAGAATGAGAGTAATTGATTATAACCTCAGTATTCCTAAAGAAGCTTGGAAGAGACCAGCAAAGAAGGTTGAAGAGAAGGCCAGTTGAAGAAACAAGACTGTGTCATTGGCTGGTGACACCTCTTGTCTAAGCATTGATCCCAGTACTAGAGATGCTATTGAAACTGGTCCCACTGCAAGGTCCCTAGAGCTTCCAAGAACAGCATACACAAGAGGAGGAACAAAGCTTGAATCTACACATACAAAAAAAAAATTTAAATCAAAGTTTTTAATAGAAGATGAATGGATATTACAGGACTATCTAGTAATATGTATAAAAAATCGAGCGATAGGATTTTAAATTTTAAATTTATTATCTATGCAACAATTAGAGAAATCAAAGGAAACTAGTTGTATCAGCTGTGAATTTAGTTGTAAATCAATTATGAACCAATAAGCGAGCATTTTCTTGCAACAAAAACTAAAATTCACTATATCAACAGATACTTAAAGTCATAATATATATACAGATGTATGCATAGCAATAATTGAACATAAAGAAAACCCTCACATAGGCCAACAATGGGAGGCAGATTAGCCAGCTTAGCATAGCTGATTCCCTGCAACAGAAACAACAAAAATCACAAAAAGTGTGCTTGTACACATGTGAAAATGCATATGCCATGAGAGAGAGAGAGAGAGAGAGAGAGAGAGAGAGAGAGACCTGGGGAATGGCTAAGCTAGCAATGGTAAGGCCAGAAACAATGTCAGATTTAAGGAGTTTGAAACTGTAATTGGGACCCCACTCAAGTATAGGGAAGATGTATTGAGCTCCAAGAATGAATTTCTGCTTCAATGGCTGCCCTTTGAATTGCCGGAGCGGATCGTCGGGGAAGAAGGTCTCCTTGAGCCTGGACTTGAGCTTCTTCAAGGTGCTCCTATGGGGAGGTGGAACAACCTTGTGCACTTCCATGGCTATCTCAACACACTCATGACTTTGAGTTTGAGAGTGCATGTTATTGGTATTACTCATATTTGTTGTTGTTGGTTCCATTTCTTGGGAATCCTTATGTTGTGAAATATTATGGTTTTGGTGTTAGGTTGGTGTGGTATATGTTGTGTTTTTATATGAATCAAATCAACCCCCACACATCAACCCATCATAGTGAGACCACTAGTAAACAAATAAAAGTAGTTGTCCACTTGGTAAACTAGAAAAAAAAGCTTGAGAGAGAGATAGAATAGGACCTTATCAAGTAATAGGATGATGAGTAGGCCCACTTTCTTTTAGCTTATTAAAAACATGAGTAATACTATGAATTTATCATTATCAATCCAAAAATTATTTAGAATTTTTATTTTATGACTCAAATTTATTTTATATATAAATCTCACATTACACAAATTAATCTCCATCACACAATTATTAACTTAGAATTTTTTGAATAAATTAATTTGGGTTCCTAGCATATTTGTAAAAACATATTGAGTTTATATCTTGTATTTTTTTTTTAATAAAATCTATCAAATAAAAAGAGTGAAATAAGATTGAGATTGTGTTTATTACATTAATAGGATTGAGAGAATATGAATTTAATCTCAATAAAATTGATCAAATAAGTAGAGTGAAATCAGATTGAGATTATCATCATTACATAAATAGAATTGAGAGAATTCAAATTCAATAAAACTAACATTTATTTTTCGTTTGTCATCAAATGGTTTCTATACAGTGACGGAGTTAAGATTTTGATTTAGGGACAATGTTGAATTGACATCTTAGCATGATTTATCACAATCTAACTAAATTCAATTTTTATTTAGTGATTGAATGACCAAAGGTCAACATGATTTCAAAAGGATAAGTTACACTTGAGTTAACCATTTGTTTTATAAATTTTTTATTTGAATTTCTTTTATTTTTTATTCTTAATTTGATGATCATTATTGAAAATGAGGATGCCTTTATCAAATATGATAGTGAAATCACATAAAGATGCAAATACACAAAAAAAAGAAAAAAAAAAGAGAGACATGAAAAAGAAATAATATAAAACTTACAAAAGATTGTTTTAATAAAATTAAACATTTAAAATGACAAATCGCAAAGATTTGGTCGAAAAGAAAAAAAGGAGAGAGAGAGAGAGAGAGAGAGCATAAAGATTTAAGGTGCATACTCGAAACTTCGAAAAATGCAATTTGGATAAAAAAAAAAGAAAAAAAAAATCTAATTAAGGATAAAAGTGAAATATTAAAATAAAAATAAAAAAAAAGGAAAGGAAGGAGGACACTTGCCCGTCCACGGTTCATAACCAGTGTCAAAGATGCAAAAATGACAGAGAGGGGACAAGGCTGAGTATTTACTTGTGGGAGGACATAAACCTGTGTGCTATGCATGGATGGATTGATGGACTTCGCAATTTTTGATATGATAATTTATTTTTTTTTTGCAGAGTTTGGAGATGGAATATTTTGAGGTATATTCCTTTCCTTCTTCATTCATTCATTCATGGATGGTGCTCTTTTCTAAGCTGGTTATGAATGTTGTGGATGTGGTAAGATAATAGTGTTTAATGTGGTTCAGATACTCACAGATAGAGAGATAGACATATTTATTTTTATTTTTATTTTTATTTTATTTTGTTTTGTTTGTGTGTGAGAGAGAGAGAGACTAAGGCGGGTAGACTCTATCTGGTAGAGAACAGAAACCAATCACCAACGCACCACCGAAAGAGATTACCGACTATATTTTCTGAATCAAGGTGCTCTTCTTGACTTTTCTTCGTTACTTCTTACTGGTTAGGTTGTTTGAGAGGGTAATTTATATGTAAATTGAGTCGAACTAGGTGATGGGCCGTTCTGTGGGCTACAGTAAAAATGGCTGAGTAAAAGAGCTTTATAGTTATTCCGGTCCAGAAAGAGCTTTGTAGTTAGCTCGGTCACTACGGTTTAAGTGGTAGCAGTTAGTTCGGTCATACCACTAAGGACCGGGGTATTTTGGGCTTTTACTCAGAACCTTGCTATTGAATAGCTCGGTCCAAGCACGCCGTGGATAGCGCGGTCTCAAGAAATGAAACCGAGGTACAAGTTGTAAAACAAAGAGCCGAGCTAGTCAGAACTCGGTAGCATGGCTGTTTTAGCTCGGTCGTTTTGTCATACGATCAAGGTATAACCATCTCACTTGGTTTAAGCAGTGAGGGAGGTGTTGAAGGATAAGCATTATCTTTTAGGAGTGTGATCCCTAGGAGGACTCTACGTGGAGGAATAAGAGTCCTACTAGGATTGTGCCACACAGAACTTATAAAGGCTCACAACATCACCTATGGAGAGGTAATACAACTTTGATTCCTGAATTCACAGAACTTTTGTGTCTATTGTCTATTGTGCTGACTTAGGCATCAGAGTGGTTTCCGGCACACAGCCGCCGGTTAGCTCACGTTTGTATTTTCAGGTGGCAAAGTGATGACGTAAGGAGGAGCATAAGCTTGATCAACAGGATTATACGAGAAGAATTATTTCGTGCTCGTACAATTGGCGCCGTCTGTGGGAATTTCACAAAGAACAAAACCTCTTGATCAAGCTTTCCTCTATAGTTGAGATCAATGGCGCACAATGAAGCCTTACCGTAGTCCGCTATCGACGGACAAACCCCAGAGGGGGGAGGGAGGCGCGAAGGTTTGCCTTCTATCTCTCCCATGGCGGATTTAGAGCCCCAGCGACAGAACCCCCGGAGGGATGCAAGGGGAAGGCGGGGTAACAGCCCTCGTCACTCTCATAGCTCCGAAAGGTAGAGGCGGAGAATTGACCCTCAGGTCTTAGAGGATCGCGTGAAGGAACAGGATGAGTTGAGACGAAGGATGGCGGAGGACATGGAGTTGATGAAGCGCTAGATAAAATGAAAAGGGGTGGCGACAGGAGAGGGACGCAAAAGCAGTAGGCCCCCTCGCCACTCGGAAGGTCGTGGTAGACACACCACGCCATCACAAGCAGAGAGTAGGAGCCTTAGAACAGGCGACACTCAAACAAGGACGTCTAGGACTCGTTACTCCAGATCTGAGAAAACGAGAACTGAGAGGTCATATATTGAAGGAAGCACCTATCGGCCCTCGCGCACGCACCAGACGTCATCCGGGTAGGCGGAATTGCCCAGATTGTTTGATTTGTGAACTGTGCTTGAAGAAAGGGCATGGTGGAAGGAGGATGTTAGGGCACGCGACCCGCGTAAAGTTTCAGCCCTTCAGCGGTTGGCTCCTCGGACGCACGGAAGCGTCGAGGTAGGTATGCCAATACCGCACCTTGCCTACGAACCAACGGACAAAGCATTAGCAAGGTTGCATAGCTTGCCGTTCGTTCCGGCAATTGAGAACGCACCGTTACCTTCCAGTTTCCTTCAGCCTAAGTTTACGACTTACGAAGGAAAGACAGATCCCTACATGCACCTAAGCCACTTTCTCCAGGTTATGGTAGTATACCGGCGGAACGAGGCTTTGATGTGCATTCTATTCCCATCCAGCCTTGGCGACCTAGGCTTAACCTGGTTCGAAAGGCTACCAGAAGGCAGCATCGCCTCCTGGGCGCAATTGGCCGAGGCTTTCGTGACTAGGTTTAGAACGAACACCAAAACACCAGTGGAGATCGATCAGCTACTCTCCATTGACATGGGCGACAAGAAGACGCTAAGATCCTACAACAGTCGTTACTGGGAGACCTTCAACGAGATAGGAGATTGCCCCACTAATCTTGCCATCGCGCAGTACAAAAAAGGGCTACCAGTCGGAAACAAGTTAAGGGATTCAATAACTATGGCGCCACCCCTCACAATGGAGGCCTTGATGGAGTGAGTGCACCAGCATATTCGGGTGGAGGAGGATGGCGCCCATGCTAAAACAAAATCTGGCACAACAGCGATACCAGATAAAAAGACTACCGCTAAAGTTAATTCGGTAGAACAACCAAGTAGGGATGGGCGAGGCAGACGAGCTACCAGAGAGACTCAGATAAAAGATGGTTAAGAGTCCGCACTGCCATCACAACGGCGTTCAAAAAACCGATCTACCGGATTCTCAATGAGATACGCGATGAACCTTACGTCAGATGGCCAGCTAAGTTGGGAGAAGCACAGAAGGACTATGATGAAAGGTCCCGGTGCACCTACCATGATGAAAAGGGGCACCGCACTGAAAATTGCACGCCGTTGAGACAGCACTTGGAGGAGTTAGTGGCAGCTGGGCACCTGGACCAGTACATAGAAGGAGGGACACAGCCAGCCCCCAAAACCACGACAACCCAAACGGAATGCCGGCCGATCGACGCCCCACCTCAAGGCGTGATTAACGTAATATATGGGGTATTCGAACTTGAGCGAGTATGTGAGCTCAGGAGAATGATCAAGAAGGCTGAGCACTTAAGGGAGGTACTAAGTGCACAACCTGCCACCAAAAAGGGGAGGACTATATTGCTACAAGGTCATGCCCTTTGGCCTAAAGAACGCAAGGGCAACATTCCAACGGATGGTCACCAAGATGTTTGAACCATTGTTAGGCAAAACAATAGAGGCTTACATCGACGACATGGTGGTCAAGAGCAAGGATGAGAAGGACCATCTCAGGGACCTAGATGAGATGTTCCAGATCCTGAAGAAGAACAAGTTGCGCCTTAATGCATCCAAGTGTGCGTTCAGCGTAGGATCTAGCAAATTCCTAGGCTTCCTGGTGACCAACCGAGGTATAGAAGTAGACCCCTCTCAGATCAAAGCAATTTAAGATCTAGAGAGGCCCAACTCAGTAAAAGAAGTGCAGTATCTCACTGGCATGGCAGCTGCGCTCAACCGATTCATAAGTCGGTCGTCAGACAGATGTCGACCATTCTTCCAAGCACTAAAGGCCAAGTTTGAGTGGGATGAAGAATGCAATAGCGCCCTAGAGAGTTTGAAAGAATACATGTCTTCTCCACCATTGCTAGTAACCCCAATACCTGGAGAAGAGCTCTTTTTGTACCTGGCAGTTTCACAGCACACAGTTAGTGCAGTGTTGGTCCGAGCGGAAGGAATCCAACACCTGCCTATTTTTTATGCCAGCAAGACCATGTTGGGCGCAGAAACCAGGTACTTGCCATTGGAAAAACTGGCCTTAGCTTTGATGATGGCATCAAGGAAGTTGTC